CCATGTACGTGACAAATAGGACGTGCTGCCAAAGACTTGGTTCCAAAAATCCGAAGCGGGACAGCGAGTGCCACATGACACAGTGTGGCAGCTGGGGAGAGGAGTGTGATGAAACACTTCCCGGAGATGTAATTTAGGCCAGGGTAGTTATCAAGCGCTGAGGTGGAAGGGGAAATTGCTGTGCTTATGTTTTTCCTATCGATAGATTAGTCAGCGACACAGGACGAAAAGACAAGGCCAGAGCACAGACTGCAGCTCCTCACGTTCGAGTTAACTGAAACGACGGTAGGCAAGTCTCACGTATTTTGAAATCGAAAGCAAGAATGTTCTACCGGCAGTAATATTCTCTGGAAGCATTTCTTAGTTACTTGGCTGAAAATATAGTAGTTGCTCTGGGATGCAAGGGTCTATGTGGAAAAGAGGTTCGATGCTTCAACAGTGTCTGCAAGGAAATGGGAGCCACAAACCTCCAAGAGGAGCTTGGTATTACTTCGCAGCAGATACTGAAGCAATAAAATAATTCAAGAATGCCGTGGCAACCCTACAGTGCAAGGAAAACCAATGTAATCGTGACTGGGCCCCTGGGACCTCCGGAGACCACTGGGCACGTTTTTACCCAAGAAGAAAGGTTACTATAACAACCCCTTGCAATGTCAGAATTCAAACAACTCTATTCATTTAGGGGAAAAATGATAACGTTTTCCCTTGAAATACTCTAGGAAGGCAAAGCAGAGAAGAGAACTGTCTCTTACTGAGCACCAACTATGTGCTTTATGTGTATGATTTCATAACATCTGCAGAATCTTCTGAGACGTGATACTGTCCCCACTCTATAGATGAGAAAAATGAGGTCCCAAGAAATACTTACATGTCACATAGTAAAAAGCCAGAGGTGCACAGACAAAATTGAAAAGCTCCATACTCGATTAAACCAGAAGATTCCACAAAGACAAGGCAGAAGAATGGGGAGTGGGGCTGCTATGCTTTGAGTCAGCGGGAGGACTGCTCTGCATTGGCGTCAAGGCAGAGAAATGAGGTTTCTCTTAGTGCCCACTGTATCTTTACACTGCTAGAGTCCTCTTATCGCCCATTTCCAGATCTATCTTAGGTTTCCAATGGATTTCATACTTGATAGTTGTCATTTTGGCTACATGGGAGGGTTTGGAAGACTTGGCACTTTTCAGGCAGTGTTAATGTACTAGAAGTGAGTCCTGGGCTGGGACTTGGGAACCCGGGTTCACTTTCCGCTGCATCTGTTACCACGAGAGTGGGTAAGCTAGATCATTTCTCTGGGTGGCAGGTTTTTTCACTTACATGAGGTTGTCTTAAGTATCTCTGAGGACTCTTCTGGATGCATGAGTCCACCCTCCATGACTCAACTGTTTAAGATTTGACTTCAGTCAAAATATATTATAAATGACCTGGAGAGTTAACAAATTTGTCCAGACAGGCCTGCTATGTGGTTCAAGTTAGATCAAAAACAGAACTAACAAAACAAAAAACCCCGTAAGAATAATTATTTAACTCCTGTGTCTACCATCTGCAAAAATAACCTGGGATGAAATGGTTTAAAGTGTTTCTCTCCCCTGCCCTCCAGGAGTTGATTTAAAGCAAATACATATTCAAGTTCTTAGGCAGACCTGGGTGCAAATCTAAGCTCTACCTTCTGTTAGCTCTTTGAACTTAACATATCTGAGTTCCGTTTTTTTTGTTTCTGTAAATTGGAATTGGTAATTTTAGTTGAAATGCAGTAAAATGTCTGGCATCTAATAGGCTCATAATAATCACTGGTTATTATTATTCCAGTGTTCCTTAGGGGTTTGGACTATGCTTCAACAGTGTCTGCAAGGAAATGGGAGCCACAATTCAAAGGAACTTTCCTCACAGAGGGATGGAGCCTGAGATGGTAACCTCATTAGTATGGGGAACTCGGCATTAACCTGTGTCTATGCAATAAATAAGGACAGGTGCAGAGTGGAGAAATGGAATTGCTTCTTCTGTACCTACTGGCAGCTCTTTCTTTCTTTGCAAAACTTCTGAATTCACCCCTTAGTGGACAGACCCTTACCAGAGACATGCTAATGTACTAGATGGGACAGCTGGAGGGAGTATTTGGAGACAGAAGTGTCCTGGGACATCTGGAGAGAGTGGCTATCATACCCACAGTTCATGTCAGTTTATTTATTTGCCTATTTTCCAATTTCTGCCCTATGTGCACAAGGAACACAGGATTTCAGGAAGAGGAGGTGGTGACTTTGTTTATAAATGAAAAAAAATAATTCGGAGGCTGATATATAACACTAACCAGTCCATACACATCCCGTCCATTTGAGTGACTGCCTCTTGGTCTTCCCAGCAAAGCTTCCCTTCCGCCTCCCCCACTCTCCCACCTCCTCCCCCTTTCTACACAACATAAGCCACTTTTCGTGACTTAAGTTTCCTTCCTTGTCCAAGTTTTGTTTTGGTGTTGTGAGGCTGGTGGGAAGCCTGAGTGGAGAAGAGAAGATGAACACAAAAACCAAATTCAGATCACCTGTACTCTCTGAACCCAATTACACGAAGCAAGAGTGAGGCCTTCAAACAACGAGACTGAAATGCCTGTTTTCTAAAAGAAGACCAATCAAAAAGATTTTTTTTTAATTCCTCTGTTTTCTACTGGCAAATTTCCCGAGTGAAGAACAATAAAATTTCAAGTATCTCCATCCACGTTTCAAGATAGGTCAAGCATATGAACCAAAGCCTTCTGAAGTTCAATAAAGCAAATGAATGATTGCTATTTAAATTATATTAGGGATAACATACTAATTATAAGGTCTTGCTAACATCTGACTCAGAATATAATTTTACACTTTATTTATTTTTAGGTTTTTTTATTTTCTAAATTCTCTGCCCAACATGGGGCTCGAACTCAGGCCCCCAAGGTCAAGAGTCACATGCTCTACTGACTGGGCCAGCCAGATGCCCCTAATTTTACTTTTTAAATAACTCACAGGTTTATAATTGCTATACTGGTATTTTTATGACACAACACTGCCGCAGTTAACTAAGTATCAGTTGATGGTGAGGTCTTAACCTGCAATGGGATCTTCTCAGTGTTCTTATGATCTATTCTGTAATGATACACTGTAGAACAACTTGTATAGGACAAAGCTGTTATAGGACAGCTTATAACAACCCCTTAAATGCTTAAAGGTATCTCTTAGCTAATTAAGCTTTTAGGGCTATTAGCTTGAGCTGGGATATCAGTACATTTTTTAAAAGAGAACATATTAAGGTTTTCTTTACTAATTTGTTCCCCATTTCATTATTTGTTTACTCCTTTATATAATGCTGCCTAAGAAGGATTGACTACTGTTAGAAATTATTCTACAAAGGGGCGCCTGGGTGGCTCAGATGGTTAAGCGTCTGCCTTCGGCTCAGGTCATGATCCCAGGGTTCTGGGATCGAGTCCCGCATTGGGCTCCCTGCTAGGCGGGGAGCCTGCTTCTCCCTCTGCCTCTGCCTCTCTCTCTCTCTCTCTGACTTTCATGAATAAATAAATAAAACATTTAAAAAAAATTATTCTACAAAAAGTGGGCAAGTTGGGAAGAGAAGGCTGTCAATCCTGGTAAAAACTGAAAATGTCCTGCTTAATCTTTACTGGACATTTTCAGGATTTTGGTTGGGATTTATCTATTATGCATCCAAATTTATCTATATGTCACATTTTAGACAAATTAAGGTTCCAAAAGGAATTGAGTACTTAAAAGTATCATGCTAAATAGTAATGCTTTCTCAAAGATGCTGTGCAGATTCAAACAGCTCACAATTTTGTTACAATGCTTTTGAAGCAATAACACCTTTGAATTTGAGATACTGTAATTTAGCAGTTCTCTCCCTGTTCGGCTGAAATTCTACCTTCTGTCTTTTCCTAAACTCTCACTCATTTATCATCTATCCAGACAAAATATGTGCTTGAAATTTCTTCCACGTATACATGGAATTGCAAAGTAATTCCACAGAGTGGAAAATGTTGAACTTCTCGTAAATGTACCATTGACCTCCCAATTCAGTATGGGAGGTCATGTATGACCTGTATGATCTTGATTTATCCTCTAATTTTTCATACATGAATGTTTAATATCTTGCCTTTTAAATCTGTTTGTTAAGATCTTTAAGATCAGAGATCCCCTGATAAAAACTTTCTTAAATCTTAGTGCTATGCCAGAAAGTACACATGAATACTTACTATTACACCATTTTATTTAAGAGAAGGGTGTTTATTCTTTTGCAACAGTTGGGCTGTTTCATGTTATTATATGAACTGTAATTACCAAGTTATCTTAGGCAACTCACTTAACCTTTCTTGGCCCCAATTTCCCTACTAGAGAAGAATTTTTCAACTGGAAAGTCTAGGTTTTAGTGTAAGACAGAATTTTTAAAAAATCCTAGTTCTTCCATTTCCTAGAAGTAGGAATGGAATATATTATCTAACTTCTCTGAACTTCCAATCAATTGTTCACCTGTCTTTTGGGGATCAAGAGAATAGTTTCACCTCATAGGGTTTTGTTTTTTTTTTAAGATGCAGAATGAGAACATAAATGTAAAGAATGCGACAAATTATCCGAACTTTGGTTTATGCTAAAAAAATATGAGCTATTATTATATCAAGTTTCTTCCAGCTCTAGAGTGCTAAGACTAGAAGTAAAACCTTAATTATCAAGCACCCAGATCCCCAGCATCCTCAGTGATTCTGACAACCCTTTGACCCCCACCCCTCCACAAAAGTCATAAAGTACAAACCGATTCAAGGTTCATTTTAGTACCATTTACTCGCAGAGTAAAGAGAATAATTTTATTAATCACTGAACTTGTGATGTTCATAACTGAGTCCATGAAAAAATGGTAAAGACAAATTGTTTTAAGACAAATGACTGAGAAACTTGTTCTGAAATCCATGCTCAGAATTAGACACAACATGTCATCAATCTACGGTCATGGGTTTGCACCGAGACACTGACCTGGCTTTCTGGAAGTGAAGAACAGAACACCCTGCTGACAGCTGGACTTACCTACATAAAAGAGAGAAACACTTGTAAGTCCTACTGCTGACCAGGAGCACATGGGGAGCCACCACAATTTTCAACACACAATATTCTCCCCTCTATCCCCAAAGGGCAGAATCTGCTTTACTTTTGCTAAGTGCCAGTATTGAAGTGGCATTTGTTTGGGTCAAATACATCCTGAAATAGCTAGGTTAACATTTTGTAGCATTTGTGAAAATATATTTCTGAACATTTGGGGATGATACAAAAAAAAAAAGCACTTGGCCCAAACCCACAGATAGGAACAAGGAAAACGTTCCAGGCATTTTACCATACAGAAGTCATAGAAGTGGACACACTATTCCTCCAAAATAATATTTTGGGGCAATATCATCATAAGTAAAAGATGAAATGATTCTACTTTTTCCTATTAAATTGTATTTGTATAGTTTATAAGTTGTGATACTGGGTCGATGGCATCAAATTACCTGTGTTTCTATTTTCACCTCTGTGATCACACACAGCCTTAAGTACTTAAATTTACACTACCTTCAACATTTGGAAAAATAACAACCAATGGGTAAGTTTAGAAGAATGCTGCCCATGATTTTATTGCTTCCCAATGATTTTTCCAATATTCCACACTGAGAGGAACTGGTTAAACCCCTTTTCCACTAGTATGTCTAAATATGATCCAGGAATCTCAGAGGCAACCTAATATAATAATTTACTGCCTACTCCACCTGCAGAGCAGTAGGCAGACATTATTTATACTGAAAAGAACTTGTGTTTATTTTCTAACAACCGGTGACTCTTAGGCATCTACAAAGTTACTGGAAAGGAAATGTAATTCCAAATTTCTAAAGAGTGTTTGTAAACAAACTTATCAATGTATGTTTAGAAAAGCCTAGAGCTTGCGGGAGGTTACACAAACACAGCCTATTGGCTATTTATATCTGCTTATAGTGAGAGGACTTTATACAAAGATGAAAACTACTGATAACAATATTTTCTTCAGTTTAGAGAGGATACACAGTACAGTGTAGAATATGCAGCCCAGCCCTGGTTGAGGAGGGAGGAGCCCCAAACTAGAGAGCCTCAAGTTAAGCCTCTGGCTGGGGTCCAACAGAACTGCATGAACAGCACAGGTTGGTGGGAGTTCAAAGTGAAGGCGACTCTTCAGGTCTTAACTTCCTAGAGTTTCCTAGGTCTGGGTGCTTTTGTATATGTATCAACCTTCATACCCCCCCCCCCCCCCAAGCAAATGTGTACAGTCAGCTCGAATGGCACAGCTTGTGCGCTGACGTGCAAAGCCAAGTCAAAACCCTGAGCTTGGCGCTCCCTTCTAACTTTCTGGCTTGTCCAAGTCTAAATATTGACATTGCTCCTCAGTTGAGATGTTTGATACTGCTGAGGATAGAAAAGGCGCAGCTAAAAGTAGGATCTAATGATATATTTTTACATAGTTGTGCCTTCCTTCCACTTCCACTCCTTTTTTCTTTTTTTTTTTTTTGGAGAGGGGGTTGGATTCCCTTGTCTGCAACATCTCCCCTCTCCACCCCTCACCCCATTGTTCTCCCCGAAAGCTGAGCACACAGAGACAAGGTAAGGTGCTTTGCAAGCCCCTCATGGCAGCTCCTACTGTTGTCACAGGAACTCACAACAGACTCCACAGACACGGGGTTGGGGGTGGGGAGCGCCAAACTGGGCTGACCAGTCAACTCTCAAGGGGGTGCAAGCGCTAAACGGACGAGCGATCCACCTTTTCGGGTCCTCCGGCTCCCCACCACTGTTCTTCGAAGGAAAAGAGCCCTCCCGTCGACGCGGCACCACCCCCTCCCTGGCGCAGCCAGCCTGCTAAGGGTGCCTGTTGTACATTTTCTCAGCTCCAAGAAGGGGCGCGGCTGTGCGGGCGCTCCTGGAAATCTCTTCTGCTTGCCTCTGATGTGAGGGTTCCCGGCCCCGCCGAGAGGCGAGGGCGGCTCCCACAGCAGCTCGGTCCCACAACTCTCTGTCGGGACGCTGCTGGCCGCGTGGCGCGCGCCCCCCCGCCCCCCGCTGACGGCCCGGGCGGTGGGGGCTCCGCGGCGGCTGCTCGAAGAATAAGTTTCATACCGTAGCGCACTCACGACACAGAACCTACCCTGAAGCCGAGCGAGACGCGAGCTCTCTCCGCCTTCAAGGGTTGGGGGGAGCGGGGGGGTCCCCGCCACTCAGCAGCAGCCACGACTGCGCGCGGTCGCGGGTGTGCGGGACCCCTGCGCGCCGCGTGCCGCCCGCCGCCCAACTTTGCACAAAGGCAGCATGGCACTGCCTCGCCTTTCGGGCTCGCCCAGCGCCGCGGCCGCTCTTCCCTGTCCGGGGGAGAGGGGCTCGCCCTTCCCCACCCCAGCCCTCCCCTTCTCCTCCTGCCCCCACCCCGCTCCCAGGCGGGCCAGCCGGGCGGAACCGAGCGCCCGGCCCCGAGCTCCGCCGCCGTGGCGGCCGCCGCTCGCACTGTGACGTTAGCAGCCTTCGCGGCTATTTATATCCACACGATTGGATTTCATTCATGAAACCGGGGCCTGGTGTGTCTGTGCGCTGGGGCGCGGGTGGCAAAGGTGCCTCAGCTTTGCGCAGACCCGGGGCGTGGGGAGGGCCGGCGCTGGGAGGCGGACTGCCCGGGACGAACATGCGCGGAGCACCCGCGCCCCCGACCCTTCTCCCAGGCGGCCGGGAGGGTCGGGTCAGGGCGATCGGGGGCCCCCGTCCCTATTCCCGGCGTCCCACCCACACCCGTACAACTGCTGGCCCTTTGTCCCAGGCTCTGGAAAAGTAAGTTGGGCCACTAACCGGCTGGGCAGCATGGCTTTCTTCCCCCTAGGAGCTGACCGGCCGCGGACTCGGAGGGAGGACATTAGCTTTTGTTTCAAAAGCGAGCCCAGCTGCTGACTAAGGACTGCGTTAGCCCAGCCTCCTCCTGTCCTGGGAGGCTGCACGTGCTGGCGGGCTCCCCCGCTCTGGGTTACCTTCCTCTGTGACTTGGGGTCCCCGCAGGGGGCGTAAGCACGACCTGGCTGTCCCCCCACCCGAGGACGGAGGGGATTTACTACCTCCTGCAAATGGCTGAGTGAGGAAGTGAAATTGGCTTCGGGTCCTCATGGGTTGTCGGAATTCTTGAAAGCCCAGGACACTCCAATCCTCCTGGTGAACTTTTCTCCTCGCTCTTCTAGGCTGACTGTGACCTCTGAGGACAGGACCAGGGGTGGTCTGTATGCATTCATAGAACAAATACTGTGTGCCCACGGTATGGTAGGTGCCCTGTCCAGCTCTAAGAAAGTGACAATGCACACAACCAGCCTTGTCCCAGCCCTCAAGGAGCTTTCAGTCAGCTTGCTAAAATTAGTGTGCCTTACACTTCCTCACTCCCGGCCTATAAAAAGAGGCAACTGGGGGATAAAGGTATTGATGTGTTCAGCTACCTTATGGAATTCATTCATTTAATAAACCTGTGTGGAGGCTGCTGTGTACCAAGGCGATACAAAGAGGGCAACAGTGTGTCCTTAGTCCCCAAGGAGTTCTCAGGTACTGTGTTCCTGAGATGTTGAAGGGCCGGGGTGGGGGGGTGGGGGGATGGGTGGGAAGGGAGCCTTTTAAGGGCAACCTGATTCGTTTAAGCCATCCCCATTGAACTGTCTTTGGAAATGGAGTTATTGGTCCATATCTTTGATGCCCAGAAGAGAGGGTAGTGAAAAGTCAAGTATGGGGGTCTACTCGAAGAACTTCAAGACAGAGACATGAGGGGGCGATCATTTACTTGGCACAAAACAAACTTCCTTCGTCTATTTAAAAGTGACCCCATTCTGAAAGGTTTAATCAATACAGATTCTTTTCAGGAACACATTTCTTGGGAAAAGTTAATTAACCCTGTTCATTCCTAGCAATCAGTCAAGCTATTTCTCTTCAAACTGCCCTGGGGGCTAAGAAATAGGGTAGAAACTCAACAGAAACAGAATGAACGTGTATTGCAGCGCTCACATATGACAGGCAATGGTCTAGGAGGTTTAAAACAATTTTCTCAATTAATACGACAACTGATGAGGTAGATGCTATTATCATCATAACGATTTTATATATGAGAAACTGAGGCATGCAGAAGTAAATTTTTTTTTGAGATTTTGACAGCTGCATTTGCACCTGCGTTAGCCTGCACCAAAGCCTTCTTTTATCACTAACCTGCTTTTTGACATCCTGCCTTCCTTCACTTTCTTTCATTTCCTCAGTTATAAATTGAAAGAGTTAAGTGTCATGCTTAAGCAGCAGGCAGAGGCTAGGACCAGAAAGACACCTATACAAATACCCACAGATGGCAGGCTACCATTTGCCATCCATCCCCAGGAAGTACTGAGGCTCAGGTCTTCCAGAAGATGCTTCTTCTATAGGGCCCAAAGAACAAACAGTCATCATAGAACTACCCAGTTTGATGCCTCGATATGAGGGAAACTGACAGGAAGAACTTCCAGGAAAATAAATTGGTGTAAATGGTAATTCAGATAAGGCAGAGGAAAAGTCACTGTTCTAGGAAGTCTTTCCAAACAAGAATAGTGATCTGAGCAAGAGATTGCCTCAGTGGTGCTTTGCAGCCCCCAAGTTTTACACATAAACCCCCTAATTCTGGAAAAGTGGGAGACAATGAGCAAAAAGTACAGACTATCTTATGCCAAGAGGAAAGGAGAGAAAAGGAACAATACGAAGAATCCCCTGAGTCACTGCCATGAATGTATCCCTGTTCTTGTTATTACCATAAAATAATCCACATTTGCATACCGAAATTGTTGCATGCTAATAAAATCAATACTATTAGCTTTTAAGAAATATTCAAAATTGGTACTTAAGCTTAATTAAACCAACACTGTGTATTTAAACACTTTCGGGATTGTATTGCACAAAAGCACTAATAATTTTTGACTGGCTTTTATGGTAAATACTTACCAAAGTCATGGGATTAAAGAAAATTCCCACAATGAAGACAAAAAACTGTTCCATTATCACAAATGAACTTACACATGCTATCCTCTTTGTATTTGCATCCCCCCAACATTAATCTGTTCTCCATCTCCAGAGTTTTGCCATTTTGAGACTGTTACATTAGTGGGGAACATACAGTTGTTGTTTTGTTGTTGTTGTTGTTTAACTAAGCATAATGCTCCTGAAGTTCATCCAGGGAGTTGCTTGTATCACTAGCTCGTTCCTTTGTATTACTGAGTAAATTTCTATTATGTGGATGTACCAGAGTTTGTCCGTTTGCCTATTGATGTTTCCAGTATTTTGCTATTACCAATAACACTTCTGTAAAGGTTTGTACCTAGATAGTTGTATGAACATAAGTTTTTATTTCTTTGGGATGAATGCCAAAGAATACAATTGTTGGGTCATATGCTAAGAAACTCTCAAGCTATGTTCCAGAGTACCATAAACATTCCCACCACTAATGCACCAGAGGTCTAGTTTCTGTACATTCTCACCAGCATTTGGTATTATCACTATTTTTTTTTTTTTTTTTAGTCCACTTGTTCAGTAATTTTGTAGGGACAACTCACTCTTTTAATTTTCATTTCCCTAGTGGCTAATGATTTTGAACATCCTTTCATGTTCATTGCTGCTATCCATATCTCTTTTTGCTGACATATCTGTTCATGTCTTTGGCCTATTTTGTAATTGGATTATTATTATTTATTTATTTTTACTATTAGAGTTTTTTCAAAAATATATTCTAGGATCACAGAATTTCCAAATTGCAAATTAAATACGACCTCAAGATAATTCTATTTTCAATTCAATCACTTGTTCAACATTTCTGTTGCCATCAGTTTTATAGAGAATATTCTCAGATACCTACATAAAGTATCCTCAAGTACTTACATAAAACTCCTATAGAGAGAGCCTTTTCAGGATTATTTTCTAAACCTGCATTTCAGCGGTGGGTAACACGCTCCGCAGAACCGCCAGCACGTGGCGGCCGTCCAAGGGGCCAAGGCCCCGTCTCCATGCAGGCGCAGACGCTCCTCCGCGCCTCTTCCTCCTCGGATGTAGAATTTGGTGTTGTCGTCGGCTGTTTAGAGGAGAGTGTCCTGGGTGGCGAGTTCCAGGTGTTAGGGAAATTTCACAGACAAGTACTACCAAGGCTTGCGCACGTGGGAGAGAATCAGCTCGTCCATGTGCCTGGTTTTAAGTACAGATGCGTTTGGTAGAAAGATGTTAAAAAACAGCTGTTGGAGCCGATGTCTGGAGTTACCATGGCAGCTTTCGGGAGAGCCAGCAACTGTGGCACTGTAAAAATGCAGTGGCTGGTGGCACAGTCGATCTGCTGGCCCGCATTTTTGGGGTTTTCTGGCTTTTAAAGGAACGCTTCTGGACTCCAGAGCAGAAAAAGAGCTCTGGACCCTGGACTCAAGCAGTGGTTTAGTGGCGACTTGCTCGTACAGACCGTCTTGCGTGGCAGCTCTGGACCTGCGGCTCTAGCTCCCACCGCCCAGCAACCCGGTCGGCCCGACAGGCTGGGTTCGGCTCCGGCTAATGCTGACAGCCAGGTAAGACTGACTCAGTTCTGGGGCTGTTCATTCAAGCTAAGCATTGAAGGCCCCAAAAGGAAATGACCTGACCCTCGTGGGACCTCTGTGTCTCCTGAGACCTGAGAATTCAGGAATTCTAGTGCTTCTGCCAGAAGCTGCTTCTCCAAGTTGTCCGACTACTCTGGGGCCAGATGTTGCCCAGCATTCCATATGGAGGGGAGGGGCCCTTCCCCAGCTTCGTTGATACATCACCAACATGGAAACACCTGCCATCACGAATGCTTTCCGTCCCAAATGCTACAGGCAGGCTTTGCGTGAATCGGTGTGTTCATAGCTTTTTCATCTGGGTAAGACACTGAAAACCCTTACGTCCAAGTGGCTAAGCTGTGTGGGTTTTGACTGCTTGGGAATTTACCTTGGGTGTCACTCAAACTCTGGAGCTCTCTGAAGCTTCTATTTTCTGTTCACTGTTTTGGGGAAATCTGAGCTAGTCTTGGCTGTGGGAATCAACTGGAAGAGATGTCCTTTACCTGAAAACTACAAGTGGAAATGAACTCTTAGCCTTGGGTTTGTAGTCCACTTATCACTGTCAGTCCTGATTTAGTCTCTTTGACAAACTTTTTCTAAAGCACCATTTAAGTATTGAAGATCTAGAAAGTATAGATAGATGGATGGACAGATGAATCCATGAATACTCAAGATAATCTAGTGGATCTAATCTTGGAATTTTTGTGATTACCCTTTTAAAGATAGAAGCATTAAATGTTCTATAAAGGCAAAAAGGTTTTTCATATTGGAGTTCCTATCTTACCAGGCACTAATGGATATAGGCTCTGTGCTGGAAATCTACACA